CTTACTGTACTGTATATTTTCCGTAGGAGCTCACAAGTTCTTTGAATTCATTATTTTTCATTAATGTTCTGGACAAGAACGGATAAAAATGGTCACTTACAATTAAAATATTAGTTCTAATTCAACAGTATAAATTTTCTTACTCAGAGTTTCAGTAAAAAGAAAATCACATAAGTGTTGTGACAATGTATGCCGAGAATCATCTATGCAGTATTTAATCGGTTTTAGTACGAAAAAATACAATTACACTAAGAAAAATAACCCTATACTCCGATTAAATCGGCACTAGAACATAACGACATATACGTATGGTCCTCTTAATGTAGTTATAACTGAGATAAACTGTACCTATGCTAAATCAATGCAAGAAAATATGATAGCGCAACATGTTAAAAAGCCTCAAATCATGTACTCGTAAAACAGAAAAAGAACAGCATTCCCCTGTACCCCGCGTGAAGCAACTATGGTTTGATGCAATTTAAATGTGGAGTTCACTCGTTTACACATGCAGAAGATGAGGGTAAATGTCAAAAACTGTTTGCACTGTGTAAAAATCCAAATTCAATACATTCTCGGCACTTTTCCCACATATGATATACGCGTTCCGCTCGCATCTTACTCAATTCGTAAAAACGCATTTATTCCTAATATTTTTGTGCGCGTCCATAAAATAATTTTTAAATATGTGATAAAAACCGTGAGATTAACATATCTAATATAAAAATGAAGAACAGTAGTGTTATAGCCAGAGTTTTGTAAGCAAAGACAACTGAAAAATCTATTAGCATTTTCTACTACAGTTAAGTGGAAGTAGGTTCTGCGTGACATACAATGTCGTACAGTGACAAGTTTAATCTAACGACTGGGCCCATAAGTTAACATAACACATCATCTGAGTAGTAAAAGATATTTTGAAGGAAACATGGCATTACACATTCTTTATTTTTACTCTCCTTGATGCAGCTTTCTGTTTGGTATTTTAAAAACAAGGACGTAAAAAAACTACCCTTTAATCCTAAAAGGGTTCAAAGAGCTGTCAACCCCTTGAAGCGAAAATTAAACACAGAAGAGAGACAGAAAGATAAGGGGGAAAGAAACATGTGCAAAATAAACGGAAAATGCAATTCGTTTCGCACAAGTTTTGCTAGACTTGGGATTAGACTTTCTACTCAAACTGATAAAAGAAACTGTCGTGGACTCAAAAGAACTGTCATGTCTTTTCGATATCTGACTTTCGACATTCTCTTTTAGTTTATGTCACGTAGTGTATATGTAAATACAGAAGTCAAAGAAGATATTACGGACGTAAGTTAAAAAAAATATGTATACGCGCAAACATCAAAGACATATTCAAACATTTAATTATTTGAAACTAAAAGCAACAAACTATAAGAAAAACATACGTAATATTACATTACGAGCATGCATTTGATTATACAGGCAATGAGGGCCTACAAGCCAGTCCTTCAAAACAGAATTAGAAATAAGTGAGAATATTAGGATCTCAAAAAATAAGGCGGCATTTATGTATCAATATAATACTTTCATTTTATGGGTTCTTTCAAGAAATTCACAAAATAAATGTGCACACATAGAAGGGCTGAGTATTACTTATTTAAGAATTATTTTATGACACTGTTAATTGCTCAAACTATGCAGAGTCGATTAATAAGCAATAAAACGTAAAGGATATAAATCGAAATTGTCGTGGCCTAATTTAAATATCCAGGCATTTGACTGGATGGGCTGATGAAAACCGCGACAAATCTCAGAGAACATAGCAGACTTCTCGGCCGATAATTAAACTGGCCATAAAAGACTGCAGATTACAATATATAAATATATTAGTCAATATAAAATAACATTCGAGAAATAAATAAAATGCGTAACGCATGATTTAGCAATGACAATGAGTTGAATTTCGAAAGTTACAAAATAAATACTTATAAATTCAGCTATGATGTACTATTATTTTAACTAATTATGCAAGTATCAGATACAATAATGTTTCCATTTCTTCCTCTAAAATAAAAAATCTAGAATGAAAACTTTATCGTCCTGAAAATTCCGAATGAAACTTCGTGTGGCATGCCAAGTATATAAGCCCATTATATAATGCATACACAATTGTGGTTCCCTGTGTTTTTGCTTCAGTAAATTCAATTATATTTTTTCCTTACTCTCATTTAGTATACTACTTAAGGACCCTATATAAAATACAAGCAGCGAAGCAAATCGAATCCAAAAATATTCTCCCAGCATTCTTCTTCATGAAGCCAGTATACTATATAAAACCACATAATTAGCCTGCCATCTCATTTCGTTTGTCCGTTGACCACAAAATGAACTCAACGCGATCATGCGACCTTCCTTCAAAGCTGGAGGATGAAACGTACATTGAAAACTTACAACATACGTTAACTCGAGCACATAGTCAATATCCGAGCTATTCTAACAAAACTAATTTTTCGAACTAAGGAAGCCTCGTTTTCACGGCTTTAATGCGAAAACGAGTTACTGGAACGAGTGGCTCTTTACCAAAGGCGAGTAACTAAACATCGGCAACACACTTCGGTAAATCGTCTTTGCGCTAAACCCTTCTTAAAAGCCACTAGCTCCTCAATAAGGGTTCCGCTCCAAGATGTTAGATGCAATATTTGTAGAAACTTTCACTTATGGGCCTATGCGCCCGAGTTTAGTGGCGCAATGGATCTAAAGAAAGGGCATGAATCCATTAGTAACATCTAGGTTTTAATAAGAACTACTTTTCAACTTATTTTGTGTGTTTTCACATAAATTTCGGACTGATGGTATGATAAATAGACGGTAAATGAATGAGCGAAGAGCTTACAGCGTAAGGCGTATGTAAGGGTTGTGAGTGTACGAGTAGGGATATTTGATTAGGGACATCGTAATTAAACTTTCCGAATGAAACCACAGCAAGTGTAACCGTATCACCACAGCTCAGCAACCCCCAACAAGGTCGGACTATGGTCAAAAGTTCGTTCAACGACTGTTGATTTACGCAGATCAGGTCATTCTGCAGTAATGTTGAACAAGTACCTGCTTCTCTCTTTTGTTCAGCCAGAAAATCGATTGATCGATTTAGAGAAGCGTTACACAGGCTACAGATCATCACAGTTTCCTTTCAAGCGCGTATTAATGTGTATTTGATCGTAGTGAATTATCTTATTGTTCCCAGTTCGAAAATAATTCGGCTGATAATGTAATTTCTTATACAGACATCCAACAAATTTACGATTAAAATATAATCAGTATGGATTCATTTATTGCTAATATTATGGTCCTTCGCGTTTTGAACAAAAATTACTAAATTATCTTTTGACATGTGTATTGTAAACATGTATACAGTCTATAAAATCTTCTCGGGCAATCAGCTGCTTTAACTGGTTACCGCAGTAAACCAAAGCGACTTCCGAGGATCCAGTCACATCAGAACCCTGAAGATGGGGACAGAGTTTGTTCCAGAAACGTCGGTTTACTACGGCAACCAGTTAACGCGGCTGATTGCCCGAGAAGATTTTATTGATTGCACTCGCCGCGAAAGTCTCAAATCCTATATGTATACAGTCTATATGCTTATGAAACAGACTTTTCATGTCCAATTTCTCTAAGCCTTAGATGACATGAAGGGGGTGTGACAAAATAAAAGCTTTGCATACGGTTATTCACGTGCCTTTTGTGAGTTCCAACAATATGTAAACATTATCTCAGAGTTTCGCAAAGATGCTATAATAATTAATTATAAAAGGAAAAAAAATTTTCATGCATGTTCATAAACTCTTATCTAAGCAGACCGAAGAGCTTTAATCAAAAATTATTGTCATTAAAAATCAGAACTATATTATACAATTCAGTAATCACAGCGTTAATCAATGACGTCTTTAATAAGAGTTCCATAATTTTCAAAGGCCTGGATTACATAACGTGAGTTTTGTTACCACAGAAGAAGTTATCATAGTAGTCAGGTAGATAATAACCTCCATTGGTCTCATCCATTACGATTTTCATAAAAATCAAACAGTTTGCTCAATGGTTTACTTCAGAAAAATGAGTTTCAAAATGTACACCACAGCCTAGAAACTGTACTAAAAACTATTTATTAGATTTTACTTTTCTTCTCTTACAGAAATTCAATTTTGGTTCACTAGACGTTTGTGAAATACAAATTTCAACAAATGCAATAAGTTTCTTTATCGATAACGTATTAAAATTTTTACTTGTATCTTAACAGCTTCTAAATGCATAAAGTTTCTTAAACTACCTTCTTACGAAACCAGGTGACAATTTATTTGCCACGAACTAACACAAAAATTTATGTTCCTTCTTAATATTTTCATCCGAACTTATCTACCAAAACAGGTAAAGTGCATATTTAATAGACAGTATGTTGCAATATTAGTGAAAAAATGACCACTGATGCGACACGGAAAAAGATGTGAATTCGCCAGGCAGAAAATAGAATGTAAAACGGAAAAACCAGTGTCACAAACGTGACACCTCCGACAACCACGAAAACGTATCACCGGGTGTGGGAATATTATCGCGGATGATGACTATGAGGTTGGAACTGTGGCACGTCAATACCCAGTGAGCCGTGGATATTCAGAAGCCTTGCAATATTGTGCGGTACGCCACCCCCCACCCCGTCCCCAATAAACGTGATATGACGTACACAGATAAAGTGTCTTTCTGGATTCATCGCAAACAACATGTGAGAATATTCCGTGCCTTCACTTGAAGTCAAAACAGGTATGTGCAACAAGAAGTTACAAAAATGCGCGCAACAATTTAGCAATATGTCAGCATGTAAACATTAGAGAACTGCTCAAAGGATTTTTATTAAATCTCGTATACGGGAGTTTCACTAACGTTTATCCAAACGTTCAAATTTTGGCTAGAATCGAACAAAAATAACCGGCACTTTACATGATCACACAGTTGTATTTATGAATATATTTTTCTGCCCATATGTCCAGGTCGGCCAACTATAACAACGCGACGAAGGAATGCAGTCTATCAGATATGGACCGCCTTACCGTGGCAGGTTCTGGTGCGTTCCGTTCCGAAACGGACGCGGAATACCTGGAGAACAACTGCGTTGAAGAACCTGTCAAATTATGCGAATTTAAGAAGCTAAGTGGTCGCATCCTCAAGACAGTGGATTCGGTGTACCAGGATGTTGGATCGGCGGATGAATGCCGCGAGCTCTGTCTCAACTCGCCCTTCCGCTGCCACTCTTATGACTACGGCGACACCGGCGAGATGGTCTGCAGACTCAGTCATCACTCGCGTGCTACTCTTGCCCCCCCGTGTCACTATAATTTGCGGAGAACTTCGGCCGTCTATTTGGAAGACATTTCGGAATCGATTTTTCGGCAGTTGGTAAGACTCCTTGGACGAGTGATCAGCCTCTACTTACGCGGGACATCGTGACACAGGAAGACGAGGACAAACATCCGTGTCTTGAGCGGAAATCATCCGCGATCCCAGTATCGAAGCGATAAAGACCAGAGACCACTCAGATCGGCTTATACTTATTGATTTTAGACATCCACTTGCGTTATAGCTAATTAAATAATAATAACAATATGTCCGTCCACACAACTATTTTGGTTTTTATTAAACTGTTGACTATTAACTAACAAATGAATAAAAACCAAAGGCCAAAGGATGTACTAATATTCTTGCTTGCAGGATCCATATCTGGATGTACCAGAAGCATCAACATATGAGCTGAGCTCTTGCTACAACGTCAGCATTGACTGTCGATCTGGTGATATGGTAGCACGCATCAAGACCAGCAGACTGTTCAATGGCAAAATCTACGCCAAAGGCAGCCCCAACTCGTGTGTGGAAGACGTTCGTGGAAGTCTTGAATTTGAACTAAGGATGGCGTACGATGATGTTGAATGCAACGTAAGGCAACAAGGTCTTGGCCGGTATCTGAACGACGTCGTCATTCAGCACCACGATACTATCGTGACGAGTTCGGATTTGGGTTTAGCCGTCACGTGTCAATACGACCTGACCAATAAGAGCGTCTCGAACGAGGTTGATCTCGGTGTGAGAGGTGACGTGCGCCCAGCACTGTCGGAAGAGGTCGTAGTGGACTCACCCAACATTGCTATGAAGATCACGCATCGTCATGGTGGAGATCTCCTGCCATCAGCAGAAGTTGGAGACCCCCTGACTCTGTGGTTCGAGATTCTGGATCGCAACAGCCCATACGACATGTTCGTGAGAGAACTCGTCGCAATGGACGGGGTGGACTCCAGTGAGATTGTGCTTATTGACTCGGACGGTTGCCCAACTGATCACTTCATAATGGGGCCGATCTACAAGTCTGCGGACTCTGGCAAGGTACGTAAGGCCTTCATCTTTCCAAGAAGATTCCACTTGGGATCGCGAGACAACCAAACCTTTCTATTTATCTCTGTCTTTCCCATGTTCTTACATCATCCTGTATAATAAATCTGTTGTTCCCATCTTGATCTAGGTCTCCCTCTAGGGAATTTTCCTTTCACTTTCATGTTCAAAACTTCTGGGATTCTCTCTTCGATAAGTCTTAAAACGTGTCTATACCATCTTATTCTCTTTGTTAATTTGCCTCCCAAGGTGTTTATCTCTGCATTCTTCCTAACATTTTAGCTTCTTGTTCTGTCCTTTTTTGGTTTCTACTTGTTTTTCCCTTAGAAATCTCACCCCTGCTAATGTATGTCTTGGTCCACGTCTAGTTTCTCCTTCATATACTACATGGGTAAATCGCAACTTTTAATTAGGCATGTTCTCCCCTTCTTGGACAATTCCTATTTCCAAAATATGTTAGTCACTAACTCGTAAACTTCTCCTGCATTTTTATTCTCATAACCACACATTTATCTAAATTTACACTTAATTCGAAATCTTTACACACTTAACTACACTTCGAAATTCCTTCTCTAAAGCGTTTTCAATGCTTGCAAAGTACACGCGAAATATTTTAAAAACATTCAGACATATTCCAAAAGCTAAGATCTGCCTACATCCATCATACATTCCGATAATCCACGGATCGATACAGTCTATTTATCGAGTTTAAACTCATAGGAATATCAGGGACTCATCTCCGTATTTTGCCTCTCAAACGAATATAAACCCTGAGAATGAACGTCATTTTCTATGAAATCAACGAAACACCAACTACACTGTAATATTTAGAGTAAGCGCATTTACATCAGACATGGCTAAACAATGCTGAAAAATAGGTACCTCTTCGTAAGATACAGGAGTCACAGAGTCTTCGCATCTGGGATTCATCAAGCTCTAAAGCAGAGATTACAGAAATGTCTTTACCAGACAGATCTCCCTGTTCAATAAGAAATCACATGTCCTACGTAGTGAACAATGTTAAAATTTACTTACATGTGTCGTATTCCACAGACTGAGTAAACGTGTAACATGCGTGACGTACCAAAGTTACAGACGAGATCCGTCTGGAAATTCTTTACAGTGTAGGTCTACTGCACCGTGTAAGTAACTATTACAAGGAAAGCGAAAGGTGTGACGGTCAAACACTCACCTGTAACAAAGAGAACATAACATCATCTTAAAACAGCTGTAAATGGAATATTTTCGAGTTCGTACTTCGTAACTAAATTTACGCAGAACAAGTGCGAATTGTTCTCGTAGGAAGCAGATGAAAAATATTTGTACTTTCGTACCTAACACTCAGTTTCAATCGTTTTAATTCGGTAGGTAGCCAACGGGATGCAAACAATTTCAAAATTATTCCTCTTAACTGACATCAATTTACAGGAACATTCTACAGACTACAAGAACAGAATCATGTGTCCTCTTGTATATGTTACCGGCAAACTATAAAATCCGGCAATGTATAGAATACCTAGGAATTTTATAAAATGCCTCAGATTCTTTAGGCAAAGTATACAACAAAGAAGTTTCTATAATACCATTTATACAGTTTTATTTTATCTTTTATATTTTAAAAAACTTAATATAAAACAATTTTTTTTAATTCTCAAAACTTTTGTTATGTTCAGATTCAATAGCTTGGTGTTTTCGCGACTATCTTGCACAACCTCCATCTTGACAGCTTACCCAATCGACTTCGATTAATTTTCATTTACACACAACCAAACAATATTAACACTACGATGTATTTCATACTTTGCCTACTGGCTTTAGGCATTCTAAACATTGCCGGTAACATATACACCTACACTTTATGCATCAATGAAGCAAACAAATATCTGACTTTAATTCATGATTCTGTCACACGGGATGAAAAACATGTTGTTACTTTTTATTTTTATAGTGCAGATCATATTCCATTTACTATGAACGCAGTTGTTTGAATATATACGAAAGGTAACATAAAACAAGTTCTATTGCTCAATATCACAGCTTCTGTAGTGAACCCTTGAAGCAGAAAAGTAATACAGACAGATGTATCGCATGCATGTGAGCGTGATGAGATCAATACTGTTTATGTGACGTGTACAGATTCACGAAGGACTAGGCGGCATGGATCGAAATCCGCCACTGCTATCAGGCCACATGACGCCGGCTGCAGTTAACCTACCTCGGCATAACAAATGGTTACAGAGGCGTGGCAAAATGAAAAGTTCGTGTCCTATAAATGTGTTCAATATCTCTCAAAATCAATAATCCTTTCTATTCCTGAGTTGAAATGTATGAATGCCGATTTCATGCTGCAGGTTTTAGCTTCTCGCGAATGAAAAACAGACAAAAATACTATTTCTGTGACGAAATCGAGGGTCCGAGACTTTTCTTTTGAATTTAAATATATATACTTCTGATGACTCGGTGTACAAATCTAAATAGTTTTTAAAACTGTAATCTTGAATCAGAATCAGCTAAGGATACAATCGATTGTTTCCTGAAACAAAATGAAACGGTCACACTAAAATTTGATACCGTGGCTGAAGAGGTGCCTGTAATAAATGGGCTATTATATTCAGATTGAGTATAAGTTTAATGGTATTTTGAAAACTGTAAAAAGAAATTCATATTTCATTTGAATACACACTTCTTAGTCTACAATCGTAACCGAAGAAAATTGTATTTAAATGGCAAATACAGGCTCCAGAACACAGAAAACGGAAACAAACACACCTTTAACTGCTACATCGAATTAAATTATAGAATTAAAAGGAAATTAATAGTTAAAAAGATGGTCCAAAAAAACGAGGGTTATGAAAAACCCATATTAAGCCAGAGCGCAGACCATACGTTCAATGCACCCAAGGGCAAACTACAACAAAAATTATATTTAACTCCCTGCACGCAAGTAAAGATTTCCGAAACGATTTTAACTAACTTCAGAACTGTAATTATGTTACAAAAAGACAATTAATGGGTACTGCACATAATAAGTGTTGTTAGGGCAATACGAATACGGTGAAATTAACAGAAAAGACGACACAGACTCGTCTAACATATTACTGTCAGTTCACATGCTACAATGACTAAACGGTGTTGCGAAATCATATAAGCTGCAAGAAAATACCAAGACACAAAAACCCATAAGCCAGAAAAAGATCGAAATACATAACCCAAGGAAAACGTTTCAGAAAATTAACCGCTTCAAATGTCCATACAATACTGTAACACATAAAAATGAACACCTAGAGAACGCAAGAACTACTTGTCAGGCAGTAAATTCTTTGTAGCTGAAGAAAATACTTTATACACACATTAAAACAGTGTGGTGATACAGAAGAACGCACTGGTAACAAAGATATTCAAAATCACAATCTAAGGCTTTGAATTCATTGCAGGTAAAAAGAAATTCAAGCAGAATCTTATCAAAATTAATTTGCTCTAAAATCATCATTTACAACATAAACAGAATAAATCATTTGAGAGGGGACAGTTTTGTAGAGCCGTTCATACACCAGAATTTTCTTGAACAGTGTCATTTTAAATTATTGTATAGGCCGACATCGGTAACCGTTTGCCTGATTTTATGTTGCTCGTGAAGAAAGTAAACATATCAGTAAGCCAAAGTGAATATTACGTGTGTGAGCGTCCGTGTGTATCCATATTAATATATCTTAACTAACTGGTCAGTTTTAATTACAGTTCATGTTAGCATCATGTCATTGCGGACTGTCACCAGGTCCCATGAGTTCAAAGCTGTAACAGACCGAAGCAGTGATTAACAAAACGCAGAACTCAGAAAAGGGGATGTCCAGCAGTCCTCTCCGTGCTGCAATCAACTCACTGTTCTAAACAAATTTTAAACTTCCGTTTCAGGTATTATTATCACACTTCGACGCTTTCAAGTTCCCTTCATCAGAAGTGGTACAATTCCGCGCCCTCGTTACACCCTGCATGCCCACATGTGAACCGGTGCAGTGTGATCAAGAAGATTCATCCGGCGAACTTCGATCCGTACAATCATTCGGTCGCCGTAGACGCCGTTCAACCAGCAGTCACACAGCCAAAGCTCGTGAAGATATGTTACTTGTACAATCCATCCACATCACCGACAAATTCGGTTTCGATCAGTCGGCAGCAAGGAAGTCCAACGTGACCACGTCTACAAGCGATAACAGTGCCATCTTCATTAGTGATACGACGTCTGGAGGATTCTGTATCAACGTAGCGGGTATCATTGTGGCTGTAACCGTCTTCCTGGTGGCACAACTAGCTGTGATTGCGGTGTGGACCTTCGTATGGCAGCGCAGAAGAAAGATCATGAAGCACCACCAGGATGCTATGTCTGTGAGTGTAAGTGTTCCTGGACTCAACGTGGCCCGTACAGATAGTCTCTGCAAGCTTTACGACACAGGGTACGCCAGGCGCTTCTGAGGACTTGTCAACAAAGCAAATACGGTAGTCATCTGCTTTAATGCCAAATTTTAACTAAAAAAAGTACGATAACGCTTGACTCTAAGTTAAAAATTTTCAACTCAAGATTTGACAATGTTCAACTTATTGACTGAATTTAGCCAAAATTCTGAAATTACTTATTAAATTTGACACCGGAAACAAAGCAACACCAAGAAAATGTCATGCCAACTGTTCCAATATCAATAACATGGGCATGACCACAAAATTTCTATCATTTCTGTTAAATCTTAAGATTTACACAGAGAAGCTGCTACATAAGAACATATCTGTTTCGAGTCCAAGCACTTCCCCTATCACAATGAATAGTATAATTCTGGCAAGTTTCGCCAAAAATGGTATACTGATTTCAAATCGTATTATACATGAGACATCCATTATCCACACACAAGATGTCTCTGTCTTTAAGTTCTCGAATATAACGCCTTGCATCAATATCTGAGTCTAAAAGTGTACACCATTGATCGGTACGATCATCATAACTACAGTCAACAGCATTGAAATCTCCACGAACTAAATAAATCTTATGAATATGATATATGTATGAAAAAAGTGCATATGTTCCTGGAGTCTCCGTGTCATTTTAACTACGCACATTACAAAATTGTAGCAACAGTCTAGGAAATGCAACGAGTCTTGTAATACGTTCAGTTTTATCTGTGAAAAATGAGAATGTCTCGTTTCCCTTAACCAATTCGTCACAGAGGGATAGAAGGGCAAGAACTTAAGACAAACGAGCAAAGTTCTTTTACTTGCTTGCAGAAATCAATTTCTGCTATCAGAAAGAAATGCTGCAATGTAAGAAAAGCATTCATGACAGTATGACCACTGTGAAGTTGTTATAAAAACACTTTCTGTAAATAAGAAATGGGACAAGCCATTCATGCCACAGAACTGCAGAATTTAAAAGGCATATCGGGGTCATGGTGAAGGTTGGTATAGGATTCAACGGTGCTAACATATGAACGCAGAACTTCCCTCGTAATTATTCGCTAGGAAATAAGAATTCAGTGTCGAGAACAGCAATTGTAAAGGATTTCTTACCTTTACAAAACTGTTTTCGAGGTTGAGTTCAGTAGCTAATGATAACTTTATTGATACTGCTGATGCCATTTATCATTTTTACTTTTAGTAATCGATATTACGTAGTTTTATGTACAACACTTCAACGACAAAGAACCCACCTGCAAAAACCTCACAGCGATGCATCACGTACTGTAAGAGTTAATTAAAACTGCATTTTCCTACAGCGATGCTAGCTGTTATAAATGTGTTTTTTAAACAGATACTATTGAAATAGTATCATATAAGCTTCCTCTTCAAAAGTAATAAATGATGTTTGAAAAACACTGTGCTAATTTAAAATTTTAATTAGTGATCAATACGTATATGCTTATAGTTTTATATCTATACCTGAAAGGGTAATCAGCCGAAGGGGAACAACATACTAATACGTCGACAAACAGCTGAGGAGACGAGGACGACCGGTGTGTATGTATAATGAGTGAATGTATGTCCGTTTCTATACAAGAATGACTGTCTTATTTAAGGTTAAGTGACCTCACGTTTTTATTGTTATTTTTGCTTGTTCTCGCCTCCGAGGTGGGAGTTTTAAGGCAACTTACATTGGGAAAATTTTAGTATTTCGTGTTCACTGCACACACGCATCACGCGTCGATATTTGCTACACACGTTTGTTAGAATCTACATCAAATATACTGCACGTTTATAGTACTTTCACATAAAAATCAAGAGTGTGATCACGAAATGAACTCCCTGTAAGTTGTTTTAAAATCCCACAAGTTCAACCGAAACTGAAAATGGAAAAGGTCTTGTTTATACAGTACCCTAAGTATATAACTAGAGCTTGTGTTAAGATGGATGTATGGCAATTAAGTCATAAGATTATTATCTGGTATTAATTTTAGTGTTTTACACTGTAACCACTAATAAAATAAAATAAACATAATCACTGCATTTCTTTTATACACATGCTTATGAAATTGATTTTTGTATATATTAAGGCTGAGAAAATAAAACAGTTTCTTACGAAAGCAATGCGCATTTAATAAAACATTACTTAACAAAACCTGAATTGCAATTTTATCTTAACTTCCTGTGACTGACTAGTGGAACCTGTCAAGGTACGAGTTCTACAACCCACGCGCAGATACAGACATATTACATTCACTGGACCGGCTAGTTGGATTACATAATAAATTATCTGCCCATCGCGGCAAAAGCTCACCAGTCCACAAATAGCCAGAAGATTTAAGGCGGAAGCAGATCGAATCTTCAAAGATAAAAAAATATATATTCGTCAAGGTCCAAGAAAATTGCGTTACTAATAATTTTTATTTGATTTGCACTTTAAAATGCCTTTCTAGGGCAGAATACGCCTGTTTTTCTATCGATCATCGTCTTTCTATAACAACCAAAGGTAAATTTGTCCGCGGTGCTGAACTAAGTACCATGCCATGCATACGTACGAAGGAATGGCGGTATAGCTCGATGAATTCTTAAGCACAACATGGAGGTCAGTGATTTGCTTAAACAACCCAGTGGAGAAGAGGGTGCAGAGTGGGGCAGACGTTGTGGCGAAGAGAAAAATCCTCCTTGTCGGGAAATCAGCCTGTAGCCTAGTCACTGTATCGACTGAGCTATCACATCTCTTCAAAAACAGACTCGTCCTTCAAAGGTATTTGTTACAATGGAAAGCGAAGGTTCAACATCCTGAATATGGCTGTTCTGGGACGTTGCGCCTTGTCTGATAGCGATATTCGCCGACGTTACAGATGTGCTTACTGCCTCGCAAGGTAATCGCATGCAGCAAAGACCTCTCGAACGCCGGCCAATATCTACCAGACTACAAGGCGCAATATCCCAGAGGACAGTCATCTTCATATACTATTGAAATAGTATCATATAAGCTTCCTCTTCAAAAGTAATAAATGATGTTTGAAAAACACTGTGCTAATTTAAAATTTTAATTAGTGATCAATACGTATATGCTTATAGTTTTATATCTATACCTGAAAGGGTAATCAGCCGAAGGGGAACAACATACTAATACGTCGACAAACAGCTGAGGAGACGAGGACGACCGGTGTGTATGTATAATGAGTGAATGTATGTCCGTTTCTATACAAGAATGACTGTCTTATTTAAGGTTAAGTGACCTCACGTTTTTATTGTTATTTTTGCTTGTTCTCGCCTCCGAGGTGGGAGTTTTAAGGCAACTTACATTGGGAAAATTTTAGTATTTCGTGTTCACTGCACACACGCATCACGCGTCGATATTTGCTACACACGTTTGTTAGAATCTACATCAAATATACTGCACGTTTATAGTACTTTCACATAAAAATCAAGAGTGTGATCACGAAATGAACTCCCTGTAAGTTGTTTTAAAATCCCACAAGTTCAACCGAAACTGAAAATGGAAAAGGTCTTGTTTATACAGTACCCTAAGTATATAACTAGAGCTTGTGTTAAGATGGATGTATGGCAATTAAGTCATAAGATTATTATCTGGTATTAATTTTAGTGTTTTACACTGTAACCACTAATAAAATAAAATAAACATAATCACTGCATTTCTTTTATACACATGCTTATGAAATTGATTTTTGTATATATTAAGGCTGAGAAAATAAAACAGTTTCTTACGAAAGCAATGCGCATTTAATAAAACATTACTTAACAAAACCTGAATTGCAATTTTATCTTAACTTCCTGTGACTGACTAGTGGAACCTGTCAAGGTACGAGTTCTACAACCCACGCGCAGATACAGACATATTACATTCACTGGACCGGCTAGTTGGATTACATAATAAATTATCTGCCCATCGCGGCAAAAGCTCACCAGTCCACAAATAGCCAGAAGATTTAAGGCGGAAGCAGATCGAATCTTCAAAGATAAAAAAATATATATTCGTCAAGGTCCAAGAAAATTGCGTTACTAATAATTTTTATTTGATTTGCACTTTAAAATGCCTTTCTAGGGCAGAATACGCCTGTTTTTCTATCGATCATCGTCTTTCTATAACAACCAAAGGTAAATTTGTCCGCGGTGCTGAACTAAGTACCATGCCATGCATACGTACGAAGGAATGGCGGTATAGCTCGATGAATTCTTAAGCACAACATGGAGGTCAGTGATTTGCTTAAACAACCCAGTGGAGAAGAGGGTGCAGAGTGGGGCAGACGTTGTGGCGAAGAGAAAAATCCTCCTTGTCGGGAAATCAGCCTGTAGCCTAGTCACTGTATCGACTGAGCTATCACATCTCTTCAAAAACAGACTCGTCCTTCAAAGGTATTTGTTACAATGGAAAGCGAAGGTTCAACATCCTGAATATGGCTGTTCTGGGACGTTGCGCCTTGTCTGATAGCGATATTCGCCGACGTTACAGATGTGCTTACTGCCTCGCAAGGTAATCGCATGCAGCAAAGACCTCTCGAACGCCGGCCAATATCTACCAGACTACAAGGCGCAATATCCCAGAGGACAGTCATCTTCATACATGCCGCCGTGAGAACTTCAAATCCGACGATGGACACCCTTACCACAAGGGATTACCACTGCAACCTATCTCTTCATATGTCTTCGCACACTTCACTAAGTTCAGACCAAAATCATCGGTTCACGCTGCAAGTATTACAGTAACAACTAAATTCTACTGCAATGGCCGTCACCAAATTGCTTGTCTCAAGGCCACAGAAGGACTTCACCCCCGTTACAGTACGGCCGAGACACACGCAAGGCTACGATGCGAGTTATGAGCTATTTTCACTCGCCTGGGCTCCGCTGTTCGTGCAGTGACCTTAAAGCATACAATTTAGAGATGGCCACCATATCCACTTAAAATCCATTCACAACTTGTTTCAAACATATTCTTATCCTTTACAAGGAACATACCTAAAGTTTATATTATAATAAATCAATTTCAGCAACAAATGTGGCATTTTATTCCACTTAATTTTAATACATATAAGCAGAAACTAAAAATGAACTTCACACAATCAGTCGTCATTAAGCGAGTTACCAAGTGTATTTCAGGAGACTCTGATATGACATTTGTTCATTTAACGACGCTGTCAATAACTCTGAATGTAAAGCGTCGATGGCTATGTCTAAGTAACGAGATTTGCGTGTATCAGGCAAACCACTTCATCTTATCTCTGGGTGCGTCCTCTGAAAATTTCCGTACTTTTCTTCAGTTCATCTAGACGCATACAGGACGCAGATTTTAATGGCATTACAATCGAAAGTTGGCAAACTTCTTCGTCACATTACCTGACTCTGCAAGCAAGTGTACATAAGATCATCTGTCTCTCAAAGAACAGCTGTTGCATCAAGTGTCGAGAGGCATGTCATTGCAGGAAAGCTTAAAACACGAAGACCATATGACTAGTTCGTATGCACACTGCCGTTAAATAAATAACTAAATTATTTGAGCGGTATGTACTCTTCACTCGCAGACAGCAATTATTAACAAGTGAACAAGGTACTTGAGTTTGTACAGTAAAAACACATCACTCGTCCAGCAGATGATTCTAACATGTAAGCATATTTAATCGCAGTTATCGCACTAAACCTGATGAAATCAACGGGTATGGTACTAAGTAGCTTATATGAGAGTTCAAGTTTTCACGGCTGGGTTATGACGCCATTTTACAGACGTATGCTAATTGTATCACGAAGATGGGGGTGACATGTTTCTTACTTGTTTTGTTTTTCAATTTGTTGTCTCTATTCATCAAAAAACTTCGTATCAAGTACGAAATAAATTTATTCTAGTTTTCACATATGCTTCTAATGGAAAGTACAGTTGACAAGCCAATCTAAATTTTGCACACTAAGTTAAAAACCAGTCTGGATAACAGCATAAAATTAGAGGAAGAAGATTTAAGTTCTTAAAATACCTTTCCAGAGTTACACTCTCAGACTGACAGAGAGAAGATCACGGAGGAAATGCGGATTAATGTCATTAAACATAGAATTACAAATTAAACAAACTGTGGTAACGTAGTCGAATGATCGACAAAATTCATATCACAATGAGGGGTTCGAATTGCGGTCCACAAGGGAAGAGTAATCCTTAGATGGCCAATAAGAACGTAGAATTAACAAATTGATTTTAATGTTGACGGAACAGGTCACTGGTATTGATTTCTAAAGTTAGTGACGACGATATTATTATTTTAAATGCTAAATTTATTGTTCTGGCACCATCCTTGCATCAAATCAATTAAGACCGTAACGATTATGGTAAATAAATGCGCTAATCTACTACAAGGTGTCTAAAGAAATTAAAATTGTAATATTCGTTGTGATATACAAATATTATGCAAATCATTTTTATCTACTTCCGTGTTCTAACCACACTGTTTTCTTACCTATACTCTGAACTCGACACAAATTACACAATCCCACTTTAATTTGAACAAAGATAAACTTCGAAATACTTTTTTAAAAATTTTGCCGTCTTATACTTCTGAAAACAGAAGGTAATTTCAATGTGAAAACGGTACTTTAAAGTTAAGCAGTATTACAGATTAGAACTTGATAATTCTAGAACCAGGAATTACACTGTCGTGTATTAATTATCAGCGTCATTAAACTTATTTTCGTTATGAAATCATATTGAAGGTTTGAGACAAATACCACAAAACTACTTCCGAAAATCCTCTACAAACATAAATCCAAGCGTAAACAAGGCAGGGATTACAAAAAGACGTAAAAGGATCAATTTTAATTCTATTAACCGGTCAGATTACCAGCTTACTCACTGGTGTTGACGATGATGAGTAGAACATTATTTATCCTAGTTACAAACTGCCACATTTACAAACTACATACGAGACTTCTGCAGTAATATCAGGGCAAACACACTGGCACTTTGCCCGTTGCTTTTAAAATAATATCCGCACACAAAAGACGAAGTAAACACGACTGAAAAATATT